GATTACAATCGTTTATCTCAATGTCAGTCCTTAAGCAGACATTGTTCTACGACACTGAGAACCACAGTACAGCCTGTCCAATCTGTGACGCAGCGTTTGAATAAATACTCCGGTTTGTTTTTCTATTAGAGAATAATGGGTTGGATTTACTCGCTTATGCATTCAATTAACACTACGTAAGTACTTTGAAAGAATAATAATAATCGTCACTTTTATAATTTTTTTTATTAGTGTTAAAAACACTTATTCCCTAATTACAACCCAAAGGAGTAAGTGTAACATACACACGTGTACAACAAAAAAGTGGTTTTGAATGTAGGGTATGTGAAGATTCAAGAGAACTTGACAACATGGTAAACTCGCTTTGCAATGGGAAGAGAATTCAGGGTTGGCCTAAAACCATACCATAACCCAAGAAGCGCGCTAAACTCTGCTATTATGAACACTAAGTTTGTGATTAAATAAAAATATTATTTGCTCTCTTTTACTCTTTAATGTTATAATCAGTTTACTGACAAAGGAAAAACACCGCATATCGTGCTTGGAATCAACTTATTCTGATGACTATGCTTCACAAATAGATCCTGAATCTATATATCCTCTACGCATCTTCAAAAATTATTGGATCTTCAAACAAGAGACAGTGATTTCCAAGTTTGTTGTCTTTGTCAAGATCAGCCATCAGAATAGCATTCAACATAGACATAGATTCACTCAATAACTACTTTAAGGGCTTGCCTGAACCTGACAGCAACCATCTGGAGAAACACCAATTGGCAGCTAAGCTGGATGATCTGTTGAACAGCGGTAACGGCTACGTATCGCTAGGAAATGTAGTCTCTATGGGGAAATACATATTAATAATCCTTTATCTACACGACGAGCGAAATATGAGAGGATCTAAAATTATAGAGCTATGCACGCTCGCGTAAACAGCTTTATTGACCTGGGAAGTCTGTGGCCATTCTCTGTAGATATCACTGTTGATGGAACAGTTGTTTCAGATTCTTCACTTATTCGATGTTATTTGTTATTATCGTCAGAATGTGGTTTATTGGATTAATGATTAAGAAATAAGATAAAAGATAGTCTATTCGTCCTTGCCAGGTCTTTGCAAGTCCATGGCTTCAGCCATCTTGAAGAAAAGATCCCAGTTTTCAAATGTTTTTTTGAAAAGATCTGAGCTAGGACCTATGGGAGAAAATGAAGTCAGTTATAATCTTTTGGGGGTTATCATATCTTCTTACCATTAGAATAAATAAAGACATCACTCATAGAGTGAACACCTTGATCATGGTCATGAGGAAGGTTACCGCTCCATGGAAGACCAGCTAAGGTTAAAGTGAGTTGTAGCACTCGTCGTGCATATATGCATAATGTCTTACCTCCATTCTTTCCAGCGGCATCATTAGGGTTACCAATGTAATGGCCATTCTTATCTTTAACAGTGGGGTTACGGGGACCCTTGGTGGTAGTTTGCCATGCTTCAAAATGGTCAGGGCCATTAGATGTACCAGCAGCCAATGTGATCTTGGGAGACTAGAAAGGATTATTAGTTGTTGTTTTTTTTTTTCTTTAAAAAGAGATTAGACACTCACAAAGTTATCAGGGAAGCCATCGTTGTTTTTATCAAAGTAGCCAGGGAATCCAGCACGTGCATAAGTACCAATGGAGTTACGCATCTCACCATTACTATTGTGGTTGCGGATATAGTTTTGGTCAATAGTACCCCAGACGTCAAAGGAGTGAGCATGGTCAGCAGTAACAAGAATCAAGGTATCTTCATATTCGCCATTTTTCTATTTCGAATTTGTTAATAGTTCCTCCGATGAATAGAAGAGCATATTTTTACCTTGAGCCATTTGATGGTGTTCTTGATAGTAACATCAAGTTCAATAAGTTCAGCCCAAGCACGAGGAAAATCGAATGTGTGAAGCTGCTTATCAACAGAGGCGGCCTCAGACATCATGAAGAAACCATGATCACCACCACGTTTCTTCAAGACTTCTAAAGCAGCAATCGTCATTTCAGAGAGGCCAGGTTGCTCAGAGCCTAAAGCGTCCTTGCCACTCAAGTCAGGGCGAGCCTTGTTGCCAACAGTGTTGTTGATATACATATTTCTTTCAAACCAACTATAGACGATGTCAAGATTAGTGGTAAGACTTTTTTATAGAGATATTTAATACTTTACACGTCGAGGTTGCCAGTGCGGAAGACACCCAAGAGCTTGTCATTCTTCTTCTTATTGGACAAGAGCTCCTTCTTGTTGAAAACAAGGTTATAGCCAGCCTTCTTGAAGTCCTTGTAATAATCATTGCCATTTAAGGCTTTGGAGCCCTTAAAGTACTCGGCGCCGCCAGTTAACCAGACATCAGGAAGAACTATTGAATGTGAGATCGAGCAACAAAAATGATTTAGGGTACTTACCAGCCTTAGTCCAGTTATGAACACCGTGCAAGAGTTGATCTGTGATTTCAGCAGCAGTATGTCTTTGACGAGTGTGAGAGATGAAGGCAGAGGGAGTAGCATCTTGGCCAAAAGCAGTAGAAACAATACCAATGGCTTTCTTGGGTTGACGACGACGAATCAATTCGGTAATCAATTCAACCTTGGGATCATCGAAGGGATCACTGGAGGAGTCAGCGTAAACACCCAAGGCATTGACGGAACTCTTGTGGCCAGTAGCATAGGAAGAGGCAGAGTTTGCAGAGTCTGTTAAAAGACTGTCGACAGAGTTGGTAATGACGTGACCAAGGTTATCAAAGTCTTCAAATGAAAGCAAGCTATGATATTTACCAGAAGTGTGCTTACGAGCAAGAGCACGAGCAGCGGTGATCATCTAGATGATATCATGGGTTATCAAACATTGGATGACATTGCTTTATATACTTACACCAACATTAGTACCATCAGAAATAAATAAAATAACATTCTTTGCCTTCTTTTTGGGCTTCTTGGGCTATGGTCATTGTTATTAAAACTATACATGGCAAGTAGAAAAAAAAAAGTGTTACCTGGACAACTTCGTATTGTACAGTATATGATTTCTTGGGCCCATATTGGACTTTGACCTCATAAGTACCAGGTTCAGTAAGCTTCAATTTTCTCCAAGCACGTGAAGCAACAGCAACTTCAACAGGCTTACGACCATTTTGAAGATCAGAAGCATACTGTGTTTCAATTGAATCAGTCCAATTGAACTTCCAGCTTTCAAGCTTGGGTTCGGACTTGAGCTTGAAGAACTTGTTGAGATCGACCCAATTACCCTTATTCTTGCGGATGGTTGTCTTAAAGTGTTTGTAAGGAGCAGGAGTAGGCTTGGACCTATCCTTGTCGTAGGCATGAAGTTCAACTCTCAAATCAAAGTATGCGCCAGGAAGGAAAGTTGATCTAGTAAGTCATGAGTATATAGCAAATATTAAATGCTCAAGTTAATTTACACATCAGGAGGGAAAATACAAGCATGAGGATCAGGACAAGCACCTAAACGGGGAAATTGACCTTCAGGATCGACGGGCCTTGAGGCAAAAGATTGCTGGTGGTGATTGTGTGCGCCAGCCAAGACAGTAGAGGAAGCAGCAGCTAAAGAAAGAACAGCAACAAGAAGTCCTTTCATGATAAAAGAAAGAAATGGGTTGACAGACAACAAAAGGGGAAAAGCTCCTTTTCTTTATATACATTGACCATCGTTTTTTAGAACGTGAAAGGAATCACGCACAAGGTTTATTAGTCCCTGCATCTTGACCAGCCATTGTGCCATAATCTATCCACGTTGCCTAGCAGCTGTTTGACAATACATGTCATTGGAAAGTTACACTAAAATGGTCATACAATTTATACCTGGTAATTGAAATGGAACCATTTTCCTTTTTCTACTTGTGATACATGGGTGCTTGCCATAGTCACTATACAAAATATATCTACTATATAAAACAGTATGTGTAAGCATATAATGGTTGTATGCAAATAAGGAGACGTGCTTTGTGGTCTATGAGGAGTGAAGGAGCGGACAATAATGGGAATAAAGCTACAGCAGCCGTTTGCACGTGCGCAGACTATAGATTTTTATTTCAATGACTGACTTTGAACCTTTTCTTTTTGTAATCAAGAACATTGTAATCCTGGCATGGCACAAGTTGGTCGATTTACGTGAATATTCGAAAATAATGAGGCATATATTGAAAAGTATCGTAATGAAAAAGTCAAAAACTGATTTACAAGTAAAAGAATGTACTTTCTCCTTTGGATATTTTATCTGATCCATTGTGGGCTCTCTTTGAGAAGGCTTATAAATAATAAATCTTAAAACATTTCAATTAAGAAAATGAATGAAGCTTATTAAACTAGCAACTACAGAAAATAAAAAACAGAAACCAAAGCATTAGACGCTTTGTTCTGTGACTAATCAAATCCTAACTCTATTCAATCAAATAAGGTTTGCAAAGTATGCTTAAGCTGAAAGAGGATATCGAAAAGAAAAAACCTTTTCCAACCCAACTAGTCAGTGATCTTGCCTTATACCACAGCTACTATGTTGATGCCTTCAGCCGATGATCAATACAGCATTTTTATTTCATCCATTTCTCTAGACTTCAAAGCATTGACTTATGGATACCTCTCTTAACTTGCCCAGCTTTTCAAGGTTGATGATACACTTTGGCTATTGACTATCTGATAGCGTCCGTTCTACCGGAAGAGGCAATAGCGTACAGTAAAATTTCATTTTTGAACTCTTCCAACTCAAGCTATGACACTCGTTGTCTTGATATTACGGCTATGCTTGCTGCTTTTATCACTTTTTTAGTGACGTATAGAAACAAAAAGATTAAAATATAGGGTAAAAAGAATTTTATTGATATTTTATATTCTGGCATTATGAGGCTTCTTTAAACTGCTGCTAGTAGTGTTTTCTGGGTTTGCGTATACGGTTGAAAATACGTCCTAGTCTTCGAAGAGGTTGTCGTTTTCGCAATAGATTCTCTCCAATGTCAAAGCCATCCGAGAATGCAGGTTCAGCACCTTCGTCAATACCCCCAACAGCAGGAGGATTTGGACCACTACCAACAGAAACAAAAGGAGCTACTTCATCACTGAATGGAGAATCAAAAGAACTTTGACCATCTTGAGGAGCAGGAGCAGCAAAGCCAATAGCTACAAGAGAAGCACAAATAGTAAGAGTAACAAGCTTGATTTGCATTTGAGTAAAAAAATATAAATCCAAACAACTGTTGTGTCCTTTTTTTGCGTAAAATATTGCTCTTCTTTTATATTAATCAGATTCATGTAGACACTGCTATATGACTATTTATTATTGGCTATAAGAACATTTGGTTAAATGAATGTCTCTGTTTTTCTTTGTTTGTTGACCACTTTTTCATAAATGCATAAAATACAGGCTGCATATTAGCTGCACGTACAACTGATCATGAGTCAACTTTTCTCCACACATTAATTTGCTTGAACTGACAAAGACAGCTATAACGTAAGAAAGAAAAACACATGTAAATGCATGCTCTTGGGTACGTGGATCCAAACTTGTTGGTATGCATTTAATTGAATAAACATAACCTTTATTTAATGATACACAAATAAGCGCAAGAATAAAAAAGATCAGTTGTCCGTTAGGAATTAATATAAAAAAAAAAAAACTTCTCTGGATTCAAGAGTAGTGAAAGAGTATTCATAAGAAATAACAGTGGAGCTTTTACAGCCCCAGGCATAAGCAGTCGTCGGCGTATATTAAGGCTGTTAATAGCACGGTTCATCGAGAGTGGTTATGCGAGCTATTTAATGCCTGGCCTAGGCTTGCTATCAAACAGTCAGCCTAATCGCCAGTGTAGAAACGCGTGTATATGAATGCTGTCGCTGTTTTTAATAATCATGGTGCCAAAAAGGAAATGAAGAAGTCACCAACATCGTTGCCATATCTTCTTATACTTATCTCCCTTCGTGTCCTGTGGCCGTCTTCAATAATATACTGATAGCATTGCTGCTTCTGTTCGCATCATTGGCTGTTTCCTTGATAGCCTTTTCTCTGAATTTTCAAAAGTTTGGATAAATTTGAGCGTTACACAGCAAACGTATCACAGCTTGTGTTTAGAGGAAAGGGAGGGGGAGATGATACCGTTAAAAAAAACGAAAGTGACCTGGCGGTGTTATCGTAAGTGAACAATTAACACTATGTATTTACAGTATATGTTAGACTAGAGTGTCGAAAAGAGTGGATTATGGCACAAGCCATATTGTACGCTTTGTAAAAAGACATGGCCGTCTTAACATCATGATTCAATTAGAGGATATGGCGGACAATCCTTCATCATTGGAAGGTATAATAGACAATAGATGTCATATCAAGCACGATTTTCCCTTGTGAGCTTCATGTTTTTAATGTAAGCCGATTTCCGGATATTTTTAAATATATTTTGTTGTTCTTCAAAATCAATTTTTATTGTCCATGTATATACACTTTTTTCATTAGTAATTCGCACATATTACAAGATCAATAACAATTAACGCTTTAGTTGACTTTCTATGTCCTCTTTACTATTTAAAAGACAACGTGTAATAATACATAAAATGAGCTTGATATTTTTGAGTATAAAATAAATGTGGTCAATGCTTTTTATAAATGAAACACTGTTAGAGACTTTGTTTAAAAAGTCTGATATTGACTTCTTTTTCTTTTCTTCTTTGGACCAAAAAGTAAGAGCAGCTATTCCCCAGCTAGCCCTAACATATATTATATTTTTCACTCTTGTAAAAAAAACTGACGTGTAGTATTATAGATTGCCCATCGAAACTAATCCGGCGTTGGCTGGGAGTAGTTTGGTGCTTACCAAACTTTGGTCCTACACACTCCTTCAACCCCTTCCGCTCCTTTGGTTTTGGTCTCTTGCTTTCTCTTGTTCTCTTTTTTCTTTCTTTTCTTGCTCTTTCCGGGGCGGTTATCGCCAACCCAACCCAGGATACACTTCGGGTAAGATATTAATAACCTCTTTTACATGTTTACTCACCCTTCTTATTTCTCTTTTTCTCTTATGAATTTTCTTCTTTATAATGTAAGTATTTAATATCATTATAATAATTGATGTACTAATCATTTCTTTATCCATTCTTTTACTTCTTGTGGGCTCTCTTTTATCATTATTTGTTATCTCTTATTATTTTTTGTTGTTTGAAATTATCTTTTTTTTATCAGTGTGCGAATAGAGTGTACTACTATCAATTGTCTACTGACATTTTCTGATCAACTAAGCTTAGATTAATAGTCTGTGATCTCATGACAAATAATATTCGTTTCTTTATTTATTTAAAGCAATTCAAACTGTAGGAGATAAAGAAATTTTTATAGACCAATCGTTCATTTAGAGTAACTAAATAAATAAGCTGTATATAGACATGCTTGCACCTGAATAAACAAGAATTCCATATAAAGCAACCCGTTTCATTATATTGAAGTTCAGAAATACACAGTAAGGACTTTTCCTTTTCTTTTTCACTTCTTTTCTATTTCATAATACATGGCCTTTGAGAATTGGCAATTGGGACTAATTGGATTAGTATCTGGACTGATTTTGGCCTTGATTTTATTCACATTGTATTTTTGCTTCAGACGACATCAATTGTCAAAAGCCAGAAAGGCTGCTATGCGCGAAATGATCAATATTGACGAAATCTTAGCTTTAGAGAGCGTACTCGGGAAAGAACCAGATCACACGACACAATTACCTCAATTATCAGATGAGCAGCCAGTTGATGAGGTACAAACAGCACTATCACCTTCCCAGCAACAAAGACAAAGAAAACAACTACCTCCGCTTGAGCAAGAAGAACCAAAAAGGGAGCCTAGAAGAGAGTTTTCATTATCCCCCGTGCCAGATCATGAGAACACCATTCAGTCAATGACGCCGCTGTCTAATATATCCCGTTCGAGCATTCACAGTCATCGAATGTCTGCAACAGTGCAAGCTGGAATTGCTCAGACGTGGAGAGGACCAACCCCACCATGGACAATGAATAAGGGCTAAAAATAGATATTCTTCCTTGGATTTATGCTTTCTGGACTGGTTCTAATTGCTATCCCGAGATCAAATATCAATAAAATCTGAACATATAATAATATTTCCTTATAACTGGATTCACTTTTCTTCTTCTTCTTCATTTCCATTCATTATGTCCGCACCATTCTACCTAGCGGATATTGGCGAAGTAATTATGGAATGGCATCGCGTTAACGATCGCGGGGGTGTTGGCCAAAGACCTGTTTATAGAGTCGAATGTGGTGACTGCTCTACGGTCCTAAGTGATCGCTGTATGCGTGTAAATAGGAAAATAATTAACTGACATATGTTGACATTTGATTTAAAAATAAATTCTATAGGCTGCTTTATTATCCGATAAAAAAACAGTGATCTATTCGACTGATATGCAGCCTACCACGTAAGAAGATACGGTTGATAGCAGATCAAATATTGAACAAACATTAGTGTAGGATACATCTACGGAGACTATTCTGCGCCTTGCTGTGGATGTAGATTGCGTGACATAGCTTGTATAACTTGGTAAAAAGATGTCTTGTTACGGTAATCAGTAGCTAACAATATCATATAGTGGCAAAGAACTTGGGTATAATATTACCTTTCCATGCACAGAGTGTCTATCTTCGGAAAACAATAGCCATTATTGGATGTTCCGAGAGTGTAATGTCACATCGAAACAGATTTTATTTGAAGGTAACATAAAATACTATTAAAAGTAAGCAAACTCACAAAGTATTTATAAAATAAGCGGCGTATGATTTACATATTCCTCTGCCTTGGGCCTTTGTCTGTTCTCCAAGCAATTGTGGAGGCGAGAATTTCATTGGTGACTATATAGAAGCAGCCAAACGATCTTGCGAATTATCTGTTATTCTGCCATCTTTTGTCCCTCTGTGTATTCGGAATCCTCGGATGATGTATATTGAGGGTCAAACAAGAGACAGTATAAAGTATGATTGCGTAAACATCGAGTATATGCGATAAATAAATAAAGCAAACGTTGTGTTAAAATGGACGTGCAGGTTCCCAATATTCAGCTGTCGGTTGTGGAGAGATGCATAAAGCTTCCATCATTTGTTGTTCGGATTTCTTAAAAAACTCCCAACTGCTTCTTTCTGTCTGATTGAACATGTAACCTCGCTTGAGAATTTGAACACATCGAAACATGTAGGCTCTAGATATATTGATCTCTTCAGCACTCAGATAAGTATATACACCATTTTTTGTCAGTTCATCATCATTCATATCCAAGCATGCATTTCTTCTATGTATTTCCCATGCACACATCAAGATTCCTAAATTCACGTTGCATGTATCCAAGGCATTGCATAGATATTCTAATAGGCGAACAACTATCCGGGCAGACTTGAAGCATACTTGATGAGCATGTAGCTTAAGGATATTGTAATTTACTTGGGATGATGAGTGTTCAGTAGGTGCATAGTCTAGTAATGAGTCTGTCTGTGATCTACTTCCCTGTAGGCTGGGCAAATAAGGTTCATACAGTCCTATATGTGACTGATAGAATAAAACAGCTAAACAAACTGAATGAATGCTGCATTGACTACAGTTGTCCAATCTTCGCTTAAACTCCAGATCGTCCAAGTCTTCGTTAAATACCGACATAGGCAAGCGATAGTCTGGATCGACTTTTTGAAAATAGAGTTGTTTCAGCCCTTCTTCGGTTTTCATGATTAACGAAACAGGTATATTATCATCTACCCCGTGTCGAACACGTCTATAATAAGGAGACATCACCTTTCCTATCAGGTTCAGACAGTGTCTTTCCGCAATAGATCGAGCAATAGCTGGAGGCTCATCTGGCAATACAGTGGCGTCATACTCTACAGAATATTCGTATTTTTCCATATTGTCTTGCTTCCTATTTCCTATGTTGCGACCTGATTTTATTTCGACTGGCATACCTCGCTTATTATTGATGTATTGGAGCACTGTGATAACATATTGTAGAGCGACTCCTTGCCTTTTAAACGTAATATATTCTCCTTTATCGCATAAACTAGGGTCCTTGTATGTCGTTTCGGCTAATATCTGCCGTATTCGCATAGCCATTTCCAAATACATTTTAGCCTCTTGAGGGTATAATAGGTTTGCTTTATAAGTAGCCAAAAAGGTAAAAGTCATCATTGTCTCCAGGCTAATCTCATCAAATTTAGCTTCGATTAATTCCCTTGCTTTATCGTAAAATCTTTCCCCAAGGATTATCCGTTCTTGACTAGCAAATAGCTTGATGATGTGCCTGCATCTCTCACTTAGCACAGTTGCACAAAGAGCGTAAACTACCGGCGATAATTTATCCGTACTTTTGATAAACATTTTAAAAAAGGTATGTTGGTGAAAGACGACTCGGCGTAAGAACTGACATGAAAAATAAATGCGCATCAGCTGTGGGATGATATTCTGTAGCGGATAATTATGACTGCGTGATGCATAGGTTATTGTAGCTAATTGCCCTTGTTTGTTCATTTCTATGCATTTCAAAACGGCAAGAAAGGCTCCAGTCCGAAGCTTGCTTGGAAGTTTCTGTCGTTGGATAAACTCGATATGATCATTTAATATGGTTTGCGTTGTCAATGAAAAGTGCTCTGCTGCAATTGTTTGGATAGACTGTAGTAGTCCAGCATATGTTTTGATATCTGTATGAATTGATATAGATCCGTTGTTGATAGTGAGTCGCCAATTGACATCATCTTTTGTGTCGTTAGTGCTCTTGTTATTGTTGTCTTTAATCCTAGCTCTTTGCCTGATGGCACAAAGATGATGTTCCATGTTTGTCAATACATCTCTAAGAGCATCTACTTCAAGTTGTAATTGATAATAATTGACATCTCGAATATGATCAGCACTTGGAACAGCTACAGGCTGTAAATAATGACATTTGGTCCCAAGCTTTTGACATCTAAGCTACTGCATAAGTTCCCCATTTTACAGTTTGCAGTAATTCATTTATACCTCTCGCAAGGTAATTCCCCTGTACACTTCTTTTTTCTTTCTCTACAGCCTTTTATATACATGTTAGTTATAGGCATACATACACGATATACACAATACCTTCACAGGGTGTCTTTTTGCCTCTTTTGTTCATTAACAAAAAAAGAAGTGTTGCCAGTGCCAAACGGCGGTACTCAAAAAACTCACAGCGGTTTTGTGACACTCTAGCTTGCCACACCCAAATTATGGGTTTGTAAAGCTCCCAACAGAGTTGTCTGATGGTATTTTGAAGAATATAAGCAGGAACATCTTAATTAGCTTCAATTATTCTTGCTTTCTTTTCGAGCCCTTGGCGTTGTCAAGTTGATTTTGCTTCACTTTTCTTTTGAATAGAGCTCAGAACTACTCAATTGAGTTTAGCTCAGGGGGAATATGGATATACAATCATCTGAATCCCTCAATAGTAAAAATTTATGCAAAGAGAGATTATATTAACGCATATCAATAAGAATAAGCGAAATAAAGGACAGTTCTGTCGAATGTTTAGAAGATAGTATTGCATTTTCAGCAGAAGGCTCCACTAGTGTTATATTGATCATAATGGCGCGAATAGCACTTAGACATATTATTATTGAACTTGTTCTTCACTGTTTCTTTCACACACAGTGCTTAATGGATGGGTTGAACAAATTTCCAAGAAGTTATGAAAAGAGCGATCGTCACAATGTAACATTCATAGAGAGTTTATGCAACTTTAATGTAAAAATGGTCAATGAGCGAAGTTTAAATCTTGACGAATCAATTTTAACACTTTGTGCCAATAGTTTTTAAATAGGCGACTATGGTTTTTATAGTTATTGACTTCTTTTCTTTCACCTAAATTCATAATGCAAGGAATCTCTGACGAAAATTTGAGGACACCACGCTTAATGTTACGAACATATAAAGCAAGTGACCATGATCAAATAGACCATCTATTCTATAGCACTTACTTTGTCTTGGTACCCGAAGGGGTCAAGAGTAAGTTAAAGTCACCGCTGTTCTGGGTAATCTGGTTTGGCTTCTACTCTTACCTAATGGCTATCGTACCTATCCTTCTTGCGGACCTCAGCGTACCCAGCTGGGCTTCTACGGCATTAAAGGTCTTTTTGACTATTTCTTGGTTTCTCGTTTCCTTTGCAGGTGTTTTTGTATTCACTGACCGTTTTGAAGCAGTTGATCAAGTAGAGCAGGCTCGTATGAATGATTTGAGTGACCCAGAGATTTATTACTTGAATTGGGTAAAAGAAGAAATCGAATTGGAAGAAGAATCCATTTCGACAAGTGATGGTAAAAGACGAGTAACATTTGATAAGGACGCCAAGCCTGCCACGGAGATAAAAAGAAGTCAGAAACCAGTCGAAGAACAAACTCCTTCTCACTTTTGGGTACTCACTTTGGACAATAAGCCATGTGGTATGATTGGTTTAGCGCATTATAGAGAGAGATTATATTCCAACAGGCCTACCCAACCACCAGCATGGAAATTGATGTCCGCAGCTGTTCTTCGTAGATATCGTTTACCAGTGCCTGAATACTTGAACGACCTTTACAACAAGATGCCACCAAGCATCTTTACAGAGCCACATGAGGAAAAGGTGGCTACTCTTCAACGGTTGGCTATCAGAAATGAGTTTCAAGGAAGTGGACTGTCCACACTTTTGATTGACAGGGCCATGGTATTCGCTCATGAAAAGGGATTAGAGCGTGTAGAAGCTGTTACGAATGAACTGCAAACAAAGGCTGCAGAAATATTACGTGTCAAGCATGGATTTACATTAATCAAGAAGCAAAAGAAGGGCTGGTTTGGTCAATATGAAAAAACTTGGTCTTGTAACGTAAATGATTGGATGGAGAGCCATCGTAAAGAAGCTCAGACGTTTATGCCAAATGAGCAATAGAATGAAAGAAATAGAAATAAAAAAAAACAAGCTTTTAGAAATGTCATTGCTTGACGATGGCTTGAGGGTAAAATGGTTTGTGAAGTTGAAGTGATTTCTTGTGAATATATATCCGTCAATAAAGCAAGTCATCGGAAATAAGGTAAACTATGTTTTAGATGAGTTGGCTCATATGAATTTTCAACCGTAGCTTACGTAAGATTAAACTTGGTTACAAGTATTTTTTTTTAATAAAAGTTATCCGATAGGGGCTGTTGATTGAAAAGCAGGTTTATTGCCAGTAAAGGAAGCATAAGGAACAGGATCGCGACAGTCAGAGCAACATGAACAATAAAAGACCTAATTTTGGTAAAACACAAAAACACGAGAAAATTCATATGATGCGAGCGTATGTTGAACGATAATACTCTCAATCACCGCCGTCAACTGTTTCACATGAATTCTGAGCAAAAAGAAGAAAAAAAAGGGTAAAAGATACAAGGAAGACATGATAGAAAATATGCAACAGGCTGAATTACAGATTATCAGCTGTTGAATAATAGTAAAGTGTAACCTTGATGGCTGGAGGGTTAGAAATGCCAACGATTCTGAATGGCATGCTTATTAACTTAATATCGTCTTTCTACGTGTATATTGAAGAATGTTACACTCTTTGACATATAGTCAATATACTTCGTACATAAGCCAAGATATTATTATTAAGCCCATAATCCTTATTCATAGCATCTATAATCTATTGTAATTGACAACAGTCATATCTAAGACAACTCATAAAATGCTGACAACCCTTATTCTTGCACATAAAAAGTCAGTTTCTTTTTTGTCATGAATCTCTTCCTTATTCTATTCATAAATGACCACAAAAGGCCTAATTCTATCTAGTCATATTCTTGTACCTCCACGGTAAGACTACGTATCCATCGATAATATCACACTTGGCCAACTCCTGCCCTGATAAAGTACGTGAAAAGAGACTGTGGGATACAAATTGATGAGAATTAAATTCACTTTACTTACAGTGGATTCCCTAGTTGGCGTGGTTTGTCGAATCAGCCATTTGTATCCTTTACAGTTTCCAGGTGACCAAGAGCTCATCACTAAGCAGCTATTACAAACATTGGAAGATGTATAGGACCACGGTTAATAATTGAAAGAGCAAGACTCAGTATATTAGACAAAGTGGTGGCATTTGATTTAGGTGTGAAGATGGTCCCATTCCTCCCTGTTTTCAAGTACAACCAAAGTCAACGAAACTCAAAGAAAAAAAAAAAAAGAAAACTTGACTCGGTTATTTTATACTTATCCCACCATATGTCTTTTCATTATATCTGTTCTCTCATATAACTTATAACTGAAAAAGTTAATGTGTTTAATAGCAGGAATATCGCGATTTGAAGTTCGTCTAGAGGCGTATGGAGAGCTCTCTTGTTATTTTAGTTATTTGATAAATCTTGTATAGATTGGTAGGGAGGGTGTGCTATCAGCAGAAGCTGAAGCTAGTTTAGCAGTACCTGTAGAATACTTTCATAGTTTCGCCCAGCATTCTATAAACTGACAAAATATTGTACTCGTGAAGATGATGTGTTCAATAGCTTTTGACAGAAGCAACAAAGCAAAGACATGTATTCATCGTTGGTCTAGAATATACTCACGGTTAAATAGAGTTTTGTTTACTGTCTCCGTTGGCCGCGGCTATGAATGCACCTGTTTATCCGATTTCCGAAAATTAATAACATCTGCAAGTTTAAAAAAAGGGAGCAGCATATAATTTTGATAAATCAGGCCCTTTCTTTTTTTTTGGTTTTAGCACTTGCATCATGTGTAGCATTCGTGTTCAAAAATAATAAAAGCAAGGTGAGGGATAAAAGTAAATACTTGATTATGATGTATAAAAAAAAAAAAGAATTGAGATAACCCATAACAATGAGAAAATCTTGTTATCATTGGTGTTGTCTCTAATGAAAGAAACAGGTTTGCTTACAACCAACGATCATTGTGACTGTTAAAGACCTTAGGTAGTTTAAGATGTGTCCTCTCTTTCCCTTTTTTTAGCTTCTTCTTTCTTGTATTCTTTAAGAATACAATAACAATACCTGACACAAACAAAATGAATAGATCAAAATCATCAAATGAACCAAGTCGACCCGTATTATCCATCAGTACAAGAAATCTTTCAAGAAGGAAAAGATGGTCAGGGCTAATATCAGCCAAAGAAAAAATCAAGTCTGACCTGCAGAGAATATCATCATTTGGACAAACTGAGGAATTTGTCAGTTCTCCCGAAAGTGAATATTCTGTGGCTTCCCAGACACAGCCAGCTCATAGACTGAAATCATCCGATACAATGACATCTCAAGAGAGCAGTAGCACTAACGGTAGTGCGAAAAAGAAGTTTTCTTTTCCTCACTTTCGTAGACATAATGATCTAACAGAAAAATCAACCTACGTACCTGAAGTCCCAGAACCTATCATGCCCCCATTGATCGCATCATCACCCGATGAGGTTTTATCACCTCCACCCTGGGAAGCCGAAGACATAAATAGAAAGAGACACTCATTAAGTGCAGCAAAATTGTATAGTTTTACATATCATGAAGAGGAAGAGGAAGAGGAAGAATTACCTGATACAGAAGAGGATGAAGAGTATCATTCTGATCCAGAGCTATTAAACAACAATAGCAATCTTAGTAGCATTTCATCTGATGTTACACTACATCCGGCCAGTATAGGTAACAGACACTCACTCCGTCGACGCTCAAGTTGCCCTAGTTATGATGCAATCTCCCTTAGCTCATCATCTTCTACTATGGTTGAGAAGGATATACTCTATGTGACGGAACAGCATACTCGTAACATGCTTTTACTTAAGAAGAATAGGCCCGTGGATAAAAAAGTAACCTTTAAACCATGTCAAAAGGTGATTGCACGTGCTGCCGAAGCTGCCGCGAATGGTGATACAGTATCTGGTCCAATATTTTTACCATTCTGTGAAGAAACGCTGAAATACACGTATATTCCTAATGTTTTTGATCCAGACACACGTGAACCTGTTCTTCAATTTACAAATATCAAGCCAAGAGAATATCAGCTTCGACGCAAAATGAATTGGAAGAAAGAAGCCAAAGCTTTGATGACATGGCATGATACCTTACAGATCTTGCTCAATCAACCGTCTGCTATACATTCTAGAATGCAACACATGGTAACCATGATGACAAACAATAGTAACCAAACTAACTCATCTCCTTAGACACCTGAAAAGCGAGAAAAGTATCAATTGACACGTAAATTTATTTTAAGAGAATTCTACACAACTGAAGTCAACTTTTGGAATCAACTGTATTACACAAAAATCGTATGTTTATAAACTTTCATATGAAATTAATAATAGTGGCTAACCTTGTCTATTTTAGGTATTTTATGATGCGCTTGTCAACGCCATTGGAAAAGAAAGTCGATATGCTCAGTTAAATGGCGCGGATGTTTTCGCTAACCTCTTTGATCTCATGAGATTTTCTGCCAAGTTAATTCATCGTTTGCGTCACCTTCAACTTGATAAGCGATCAACGGCTGATTCACCCAAGATCATTTATCCATTTGATGCTATGCCTCCATTAGTAGAGTGTTGTCATGGCGGACAACTGGGAAAAATATTATGCGATATGTCCGAAGATATGGTCGTCTTTTTAAGGAGTGCTATTGATTATAAAGAAAATAGAAAGTTACTACAGAATAAGATGTATGAAAACTATAGACAGGTAATTGTGATATTATGGAATTATAAAGCAGATCACTCATCTGTATACAGAGATTGTACAGTAAAAAAGAAACCAGTCAATTCTCTATGGAGGATTTCTTGATTATTCCTATTCAGCGAGTGGCTAGATATGGACTACTGTTAGCAGGTACTAATAGAAGCATGATGTAGTGATTAACGTACTTATTTTTTGCTCTGTTAGATCTTATTAGACATACTGATCCAAACATTCCAGATTATGCCTACTTAATTAGAGCGCACAGGATCATTACTAGTTTAGCCACTGCAATGAATTCAGTGCAAAAGAAATCAAAATAGCTTTTTGTATATATACACCCTTTCTCTCTCTCTTGTAGTTATATTGTTAACCATAATCATAATCATAATAAATGTATATTGTTTATTTATATAATGCCTCTTGTTTTATTTAATAAATAACGTCTAGTGTTTAATTGTGTGTGTAATGCTACATATGCTTATTTCTATAATCTATAATTTAGCTTTTCTACGCTTTTCTTGTTCTTGCTTGGTCAGTCGAACGAGGCCTTCTTGTGCAGTAGTAACAGCAAGTGTTCCATCCTTTGTAAAAATTCTACCAAACACAACACCACGTCCATTACTCGTTCTAGGACTATGCATGTGATACAATAACCAATCGTCTGCTCTGACTGGTGCATGAAACCACATAGAATGATCCAAGCTAGTAAGCATACCAACTCCACTTGAAGGTACACCATTTGCTGCCACTGTTGTATCAATAAATCCGCTGTCCGAAGCATAAGCAACGACACAGGCGTGAAGTCTCTTATCATCTCCTAATTTTCCTCTTGTTTTGAAATAACGATGCTATAAAAAAGTACGCACAATGAGCAATAATATAATCACTTTATATTCAATCACTTCTTACTCCTTCTGCATTAGGTTTCGTTATAAACTCTTGTCGATAATCTACAGGGGAACTTTCCTCGATTTTTGCCTGTATATATTCACGGTATTTAGGCGAAGAGTCTTCTTGTGCCAACAATTTCTTCAGTCGATCCAAGTCTCTATTTACAACAGTGAGCACATAAACACATGTCTGATAACTTATTACTTACGAAGGAAGGGATTCAGGAGGAGGAACCTTGGGCATTTCTGCCTGATGTGCCAGTTGGAAACTCTTGTCGTCGGGTTTAGCAAAACTGAAGCTACAAACAAAGATGGCTCTTCCCTTTTGGGAGGCAGTAACATATCTTGTCGCATAAGATTTTCCATCACGTAAGCGGTGTACCTGGTAAATGACAGGTACTTCCACATTACCAGCCAAGATAAAATAACTGTGAAGTGACTGCGATATGTCAGAAAAAGTATGTAGATGTATGATTTTTGCTTACATGAATATCAAATTCTTCCGCTACGGTATTAAAGGCTGCTCTTAGGGCTTGAGCCACAATCTATACTAAAATTAAGTCATTGCGCTCATCTTTCCATCTAAACTTTACCTGTCCACCAAAGACACCACGAGCACCAGCAGGTAACCAAAGCTCTTTGCTCATATACAGGTTGCTGTCTATTTCTTGTACTTCTACAGCATTGGCCATACGAATAGCAAAATCAGCATCATCATCTTCACCGTACTTGGCAGATATAATTGGTTTTCTATTATCACCAAAGGAGATGACAGCAGGGAACGTCGAGTTGGGCATAGTTATAAAAAGAGTAGAGTAAAATGTAATTAAAATGTTTGGCGGGGCTTTTATCGTTGACATATTGTGTCACCTTTTCTGATTAATCTGACTAACAGAAAATGGTTTTTCCGGATTGCTTATCTATACAAATTCATTACAATATTCCATCAAGCATACTATGCCATTATCCTATTCTATGATAATATGAATTTATATACTGACGTCAACTCAATCTATTGCTTACAAAACGAAAAGAATGACTTCCCGAAAGGATATTTCATGTCTAAAGTGATTTTTTTTATTGGTAATAGTAGTAGCAGTAGTAGTATACAAAAAGTGTAATAAAGAAATTATTAATATACATTTTAAAGTTCATGGAAGTCAGTTCCAGTTATTGTCTTCTTTACGTATCCAGCACGAATGACAAAGTCACCAAATGGTTCATCAGGTAATCGTTCAGTGGCATATCGCTTAATAATCGGATTGATCTCTTTCAAAATTTCTTCCTCACGTAAACTTTCTTTGTACAACTTGTTCAATCGTTCACCCTTATGACCACCACCCAGATAGACATTATACGTATTAGGAGCTTTACCCACAAATGCAATTTCACCCAAGTAAGGACGAGCACAACCGTTAGGGCAACCAGTCATACGGATAGTGATCGCATCGTCACGGAGACCAGCAGCTTCAATTGCCTTTTCGAGGTGACCAACCAAAGTAGGCAAGTAACGTTCAGATTCAGCCATGGCGAGACCACAAGTAGGTAAAGCAACGCAGGCCATAGCATTCTTACGAAGACCAGTAAATGAGAGATTGTCCATCTTGTACTTGGCCAACAAAGCCTTGGTCTTTTCCAAATCAGCCTCAGGTACATTGGCAATGATCAAGTGTTGGTTAGGTGTCAAGCGGAACTCACCCTTGTGCCATTGAGCTAACTCGCGAAGACCACTCTTGGGTTGGAAGTCGGGCCAGTCCTTGACTTTACCATTCTCGATAAACATACAGAAATGCCACTTGTCACCCACGCCCTTGGTCCAGCCATATCGATCTGCGTTGTCCTTGAATTCGAATGGCGCAGGATCTTGGAACTTGACGCCCATACGAGTCTCGATCTCGTTCTTGATAAAGTCGATACCATACGTGTCAATGGTGTACTTGAAACGAGCATGCTTACGGTTGGTACGGTCACCATAGTCACGTTGAGTTGTCATGACAGCTTCACCACACTTGACAGCCAGCTCAGCAGGAATATAGCCAACCAAGGTAGCAGGACGAGGATACGTCTTTTTGTTGCCATGAGTCATACCCATACCACCACCAATAGTAACATTGTAACCAACCACCTTTTTGTTGTCATCAACAATAGCAATGTAACCCAAATCGTGAGCATAGATATCCACATCATTATTGGGAGGAACAGCAATGACAATCTTGAACTTACGAGGCAAGTAGGTAGGGCCATAGAGAGGCTCAAAATCTTGGACAGCATTACCAGCCACTTGTTCATCAGCCAACCAAATTTCGTGATAGGCCGTTGTCTTGGGTGCTAAATGTTCCATGAGTTCTTGGCCGAATGCTTGCACTTGTTCGTGAACTTCAGGAATCTCGGTGACGGGCGAGATCATGATATTACGATTAACATCACCACAGGCGGCCAGTGTACTGAGAAGAGCATGGTTGATGCCACGGATGGTCGAACGCAAGTTTCTCTTGAGAATACCGTGAAGCTGGAAGGCCTGACGTGTGGTCAACTTGATGGCACCGTTAGCATACTTGTCAGCCAAATCATCCATAACAAGCCATTGAGCAGGCGTGGACACACCACCAGGCATACGGACACGGATCATAAAGCTGAAAGCCTTTTCAAGGCCCATCTTCTTGCGTTCTTCTCTCACATCACGATCATCTTGACCATAGGATCCATGGAACTTGAGCAATTTACCGTTGATTTCACTGATGGCGCCTGTTGATTCGTCCAAAAGATCTTGAGCAATCGTACCACGTAAGTAATTGGAATTGATCTTCATTTGATCGTCTGTCAACTTGGGTTCATCATCTTCAGCACCCACATCCTTGACACCCAACGATTTCCAGAATTCAGGCTGCCATGCAGCAAGACCCGTTTCGTATCCATCAGCATCTTGATCATCACCGAGACCCAAGTCGACAAGACGAGTTGCTCCCAGGGCTTCGAGTTTAGCGTCCAAGAGTTTACCAGGTCGATTGTAAAAGATAGCGTCTTCTTCACGTGGCCAGTAGTGGCTGTCACCCATGCCAAAGACAGCATAATTCAGTTCAGAAAAGTTGATATCGCCAAGGATCAGACCATTAAGAGCTTTCCAGAATTCACGCGAGTTTGAAGGGAATTCACCTTGACCGGCAGTAGAGACAACAAAGACCACGTTGGTTTCACCAGACAGTTCTTGAATATCTGGATAGTCATCCATAGCCATCAACTTTACTTGAAGACCTCTGGATTTGGCACGAGTAGCCAGTTTTTTGGCGACACCTTCAGCGTTACCATTGTCAGAACCAAACAAGACAGTCAAGGGAGGACCATTGGCACCGCTCAGGCCTGAGAGTAACTTGGCATAGTCTTCGCGAGCCTTGCGTTTCAATTCATCATGTCTCTTTTCTACATCCTAAAAAAAAAATAAGTATATTGATTTTCATAAAACTGTATATATATATCTATTTACCTTTTCTAAAGAGCTCACGAGGACTTGTGACATATCAGGATGTTGAGCGACAATTTGTGAAAAGTGGTTTTCGCGTTCCAAGAACTTTTCAAGGTCCTTCTTGATACGTTGAGAGTCAAGAGAGAAAGGTTCCTTGCCTTGAGCTTCCAAAGCAGGGTTCCATCGGTAGAGTGGCCATGATCCGTTGTCAACAGAGACCTTGGTTTCCTTGAGAGTGTAGAGAGGATCATTGACAGCGTCTGCTTGTTGAGGTAGGTAGGCCAAGACGATGGAGGGACCTTGATAGGCATCGGCTTCCATGAGAGCGTGAAGGACACCAGTATAAGATGAGTAGATGGCGACTGAGGCAACATAGACGTTACCAAAGTTCATGGCATAAAGGCCGATATCTTTCTTACGTTGATCACGAGCGACTGAAGAGGAGTAAGGCAAAGTATCAATGATCAGCATGTTGACGTTCTCGCCTTGAGCAATAACATGGTGCACACCTGATTGACCGAGATCGTAAGCCCAAGAGTCAGAACCAATCAGCCAGTTAGACTTGGGGTACAGCAAATCCTTGTTCAGCAAGACATATTCATCCGTGGCAGAAGCAACGACAGCATCAGCAGCCTTTTGAATGGCCTTGACATCATAAGTGGTAGACTTGACAGTCAGAAGCCATTGAGAGAGTGTCTTGACATCGCCCTTGACCTTGTTCTCCTTAACACGTCGTTCAACCGTGTCGATGAAACGAGCGCGTTCCTGAACCTTGCTGAGGATCTTACCATATCCAAACTCGGGAGCAGCTGATTCAGGATGCTGAGCATCAGGAGACCAGACGGATGCACTATGAACAGCATTGGCAATATCCAAACGGTTTTGGAACACTTGATCGAGCAGCTTGACATAGGGTGTTTCCAAGGAAGGCGCACCTACAGCGACAGGAGCTTCGACAGCTGAAGGAGCAGCACCAACCGGTAATTGAGACCAGTCTTGAGGGACAGCAACAAGCTTGGCACCAGACAAAGTAGTAGAGAGGTTATTAAAATCGCCTTGGAACGAGACCACCTTGACCTTGGATGTGCTGATTGCATATTTAGCAGCATCTGACAGATGCTCAAGATCACCAGTAACGGCCACAACACCTGAGGAAGCAAGAGCATGAAGAGCACTAGGAACAGAGACAGTACTTGCGCCTTCAAGGATGATAGCAGCCTTGGCTTGAGAGACCAAAGAAGGCAAGAAAGGACCAGGAATAGAAGAGACACGGACATGGGAGACACCATCGACTGTGTAGACCTGAGCATACTTACCACCAGAAACAGCACGTTGGGCGTACTGAAGAGCAGCTTCTTCTTGACCGACAATTACAAACTGTTCTGTTTCCTCTGGCACGACCTGCAAGGAGCCTGCAACAGCGGGAAGACTAGCTACTACAAACTTCCGTTCAATGTTGGAAGCAAGTGCTTGGAATACTGCTTGTACATGAGCAGGAGAAAAGTCATGATCGCGCACACCGTATTGACCACTGACGATGTCAACCTGATTGTTCTCAGCAGTCTGATAAGCAGCAACAACATCCAAAAACAGAGGACTCCAGCTCGATGCAACATCTTGACAAGGTTCAAGGACAGCCAAACGCTTGACAGAGGCAGGTAAGTAACTGAAGAGGTTCTTATCAGACCAAGGACGGTAGAGCCTGACTTTGAGTACACCTATTTTGGCATCCTTGTCCTGAACACGTAGGACATCCACTGTTTTCTCGACCACGGTAGCACCAGCTCCCATGGCAACCACAACCTGATCTGCGTCAGGATGTCCACTGTACTCAAAGGGTGAATAATGACGACCGGTGAGTGCAGCAAAGTGAACCATAGCTTCCTGTACAGCAGCATAGATATCGACTGGGGTTTCAGCTTGCTTCTGCTTATATTGGAGATAAGCCGTAGCAGGCTGCGATTGAGGTTGATACTGCTGATATGCTTCGATATCTTGAGAATTGATGAGTTCCGAGATGATCGAAGGAGTCACGGTCTGAACAGTAGCATGTTCAGAAGCGATACGCTTCGAGTCAAAGAAGTGCAGGACGGGCGAATGGGTCTTGATAGCAACGACATGCGCGATGATAGCCAGATCATACGCTTCTTGAACAGTCGATGATGACAAGAGAGTCAAGCCACTTTGACGGACAGCCATTACATTTGAGAAATCAGCAAAGGAAGCATGTGTGTTTTCCGCCGAGACGTGAATGACAGTTGATGCATTTGCTTGAGCCAATTGATATAATTGGGGTATAGTAGAGATCAAAGTATGTGAGGACACAAGGGCAGAAGTATGCAGGGATGAGTCAATGATCAATTCATTTTGTCTATAGATTGACAACTTGGGCTTATTCTTCCAAATGGTTTCATTATCACTTGTTTTGATTGATCTGTAGGTATAGATTTGTTCACTAAATGCTTCAGATGCTACAATAGAAGCAGATTCACCGTTCAAGAATTGGTGACTCATATTAATATAATGAAAAAGAAGAAGAGGGGAAGAGTTGATGAAATATAAGAAGAAAAAAAAGAGATGTCAGATATCTTTGATATAAACTTTTGCTTGTAAAGAAACAACCTTGCGAACATTGCGTCTTTAAGCACACAATTTTCTTTATTTTTTATTGGCTCGAGATATAATATTATAATGTCCGATATGACTTTTGACTAATAGAAATCATTGGTTGAATGAGTACTTGTGGTTAAATAACTGATACGATTTTGTTTTTCATCAAAGGAGACTCTTCTATGAGCCATATAGCCGCCATTTCTTAAATCCAATAGGTCCAATAAGGTGTGATATAGGAATTTGAATGCCCATATGTTACCTCTAATCCTACGTATGTCAACTACATATAAACCAGGTAAATTTTCAATCTTGGATAATTCAACCGTAAATTGAACTTGTTCTCCACTATCAATGCCTTGTTCTCCATACATTGTCTCTCCTTTATGTCTATTATTATTATTATTAATATGGTTGTTGTTATGCAAGTTATGATGAAAGAATAATTTTAATGATGTCCTCTTTTGTTGTTGTTGTTGTTGTAGTTGTAATTGTTGTTGTTGTTGACGTGAAGGTCGAATACATTTAATCTTAAAATCATGCACTCTTTTCATAGAAATACCCATAAATGTGAGTGCTTCCTTGATTGTAAATAACACTTCATTAGGTGCTTTGGATGTAAGCGCATCTTGATCTACAGCTCCTCGATGTACTCGGAGTTTAGAATCATTAAAGTCAGCTGCATAGGAACCCAGTGGTTTACCAATGGGCATCGCACGGATAGGGTTGATCGTACTCAATGGTCTCTCGGGTAAGCCTAGTCGCTCGATGGTTGATTTCGTACCTGAAAACCAATGTTATTTTTTTTTTCTTGAATCATGAATACTTATTATTTACTTACTTGGTGTATTCTTTCGTTTGAACCAGTCCTTCAATTTCTGTCCTTTTGATTTCTTTTGAATCGTGGTCTGCTCAGAGACAGAAGGTAAAATATCAAATGCTTGAGGTTTAGGCTGTATGTCACTTATAGTCCTTGGACGAGCTTGAACACTTTGAGATCGTGTTGGTATATTGTTAAATTGTGGTATTTTGACCGAGACATGTCTAGAAATGGCTGAAAAGAATTTTGATTGAAATAAGGTCGTCTTTTGCTGTTCTTCTGGTGTCGATGGGTGGCTCTCTTCTTCTTCCTCTTCCTCTTCCTCTTCTTTTTCTTCTACGATCAGCGAAGGGACATCATCGGTATTGGTAACACAAATGGCCCCATGCTCTTGCACATCCTGTTCCCGAGATTCCGATATGTTTGTCTGTGTGTTGGGTGATACGGAAAGAGTGAACCGAGTGTCCGAAGCCATTTGCTCGAGTTCTTCCATCGATTTATGTAAAAGATCATGATAATCTTGAAGCCAGGGGTGATCCAAGATGTCGTTCATTTGGCAGCGATTTCTTGGATCAGGCACCAACATACGACGAAGTAAGTCTTTTGCATCTTCACTCATGGAAGTGGGTAGTTCAAGTGGAGTACTAATTATATACTTGTACAACAAGTGAATATTCGCGCCTTGAGGATTGTTAGGATCATCATCAAAGGGCAAATAGCCACAAAGCATAGCAAACAAGATGACACCGCATGACCAAATGTCGACTGCAGTGCCAACATAGTGGTTATTATCATCATCGTTTATGACAAGTTCTGGGGCTGCATAACAAGGAGAACCGCATGAAGTAGCCATAAGATCTTGATGTTCAATTTGAAAGCGATTGGCAAAACCAAAGTCTGTGATAAGTATATTTCTATCTTTGCTTAGCAGCAAATTTTCCTAGTAACCTTTTTTAATATGCATATCAACACACAGCCTTTCCCCCCTCCTCTCTCATTATTCACTTTACATTACCAGTTTAAGGTCTCTATGAACAATATGTTTTTGATGCATATAATGAACTCCACTGATCAACTGTGCGAATAGTCTTTTAGCTTCATTTTCTTGTAAATAATGATGCTTTAATATGTAATCAAATAATTCACCACCTAACATCTATAAGTAAGGCATTGTTATTTTCTTTGTTTTTATGTTTACCAAATGCACGTTGTAAGACAATGCCAATGTAGTTTTTTATCTCTAGTACTTCATATAAGCTCACGATAAAAGGATGATGTACGGTCTATTGCTATATGTTAATAATCTTTCTTTTGATCTGTTTAATTTCCAACCTTTAGCACAGATATTTCTCTTTCAAGCTTAGTCTCTAATGATGCGTGTTGGATATGTTCTTTTCTCATTAATTTAATAGCTACCTAAATAGTATAGTGAGCATAATGTAAATAATAAAAAGTGAACTTACATCTTGCTGTGTCTCAATATGAACTCCGGCTTTCACCTTTGCAAACTCTCCTTCTCCTAATGTTTGTAATAGTAGATATGGACCAAAATAAGAAGGATTGTTCTTTTGTTTAGGTTCATATCCATATCGTTTATAGATCGCTTGGTACCATGACTCATCTTTGTTTTCTTTATGTTTCTTCTTTAGTTGTTGTCCAAATTCACCAGGTACAGCCATCACCGAATGAGCCCTCTGATGTGGCCCTACTTTTAGTTCATCTATCATTTTACTATTACTTTAAGAGAAGGAAAGAAGAAGTAAAGAAAAAAAGAATGAAAAAAGAAAAAAAGACGTGCAATATAAAAACGTGATAATGTAACACGAGAAAGGTTCTTTTTTTGACACACTTTTTTATTTTTTTTCGTATGATTTCAATAATCAATAATCAAAAAGAAAGAAGGGGGGGAAACTTATTTCACTCTATACTTATCTAATAGTGCCCTTTGTTCCTCCTATTTGTTGTTGTTATTAGTTTATGTGTCAATAAGCTTATTATTTAATTTACCGCTGAATAGTCTTGATTATTAAATATCAACACTACCTTGGTTGCTTTCTTCTTTGTGGTAGTGAATCCTGTAGTTGAATCAGTAGTCGTATTTTGTGTTTCCTGTCCTGATGGTGGCGATGTTTCTACTGCTGTTGTTGTTGTTGATGGTGGCGCTGCTGCTTGTGGTTGCGGTGGTGGCGATGATGAGGTCGGTGTGGCTGTAGAGATGGTATTCACTTGAGTCGCATCAGACGAAGCTGACGTGTTTGGAACAGGTGGAGTCATGCCTGTTGGTGGCATGGGTGGAGCACCAGGTACGGGCATGGTTCCGTAAGCTGGATATTCTGTTGCAGGATACGGTCTATGGATGGATTTTTTAACACATGTTATACATGATATCATCACTTTCTCTTAACTCACGCTTGTGGATAACCATATGGGTAGCCTCCGGGTGCACCATAATAGTTGGCATAATATTGATTATAGTAATCACCATAAGGTTGACCATAATAGTACTGTGGAGGTGCTGCTGCAACTGTAGCTGTAGCTGGTTTAGCTGGAGCCGCCGTAATGGTTGCTGACGTTGGTGCAGCTGAAGTAGTGATGTTGGAAGTTGTCGTTGTTGTCAAATTAGGATTAGCAGTCGCCTTATGAGCAGCCATTTGTGCTTGAATCTCTTCTAATGTCAGTTCACTATACTGACCTGACCCACCTGTTGACGTTTTTGCCTTTTTACTGTTATTTAAACCAGCTACCTTGAGCTCATGTGCAACGAGATCTTCTTCGGGAATACCTTCCATACCAAATATTTCAATATCTAAATTATCTCTTCCTGGAAGTGCATTAGGGACCCTATAGGAGATGTATTAGTTTTGTTGATGTAGAGTTGTTTGTTTAATTGATACTTTGCTTATAAATCTCGATTTTATGAACTTGCTGTGCATGCACTACCATGCCACCTGCAGTAGCTACATGGAATGAATAACTGTTTGCTATATATATATATATATATATATTATACGTACTCAATTTTTTGCTGCATACTTCACATCTAAAGTGTTTTGCCTAATCTAATGGTTTAACCTAGATTATACAAGAGAATATATATAACCCATGCTTTACTCTTTGATGTGTTACTAGCACTTTGTCGTCCTCAAAGTCTTTTTCACAATACCAACACCAAGGCCTGATTTGCTTTGTCTTTCTCTTTTTGCCCATGTTTCTTTTTCAAAAATAACAAAAAAAAAGTAGAAAAAGAAAACGCGTGCTCTTTTCTTACTCTCTTTCTCTCTAACACCCACTTTCATCCACTCATTAAAAAAACGTGACTTTGAATTATACAGTGGTTCGACTGTCAATTGGACAATTTTTTGTAAACAGTAGTCGGATTTTAGGAATCTTGTTGGTTTTTCGGGCTATCATAGGTTGCCTGGAATCCTTCAAGCATTAATTTTATATTTGTTAATTTTCTTTAGTAGTTCTGTCTTTCAATAGTCCACCACTGATTTCAAGTGGCTATTTTATTTATTTAAAAAAAAAAAATAAAGCTTGGCTAAAAACGCCCCTACAAAAAAAAATTTTAGGAATCTTGTTGCAGGACCAAAAAAAAGAGGGTACTAAAATGAATAAGCTCGCTACTACCTTCAATTGAGCGATTTTTTTGGGCGAGATAAAAGACTTGACATACAACTGTCGTCTTTCAGGAGAAGAGCCTGGAGAAGATTTCATACTGAAAGCTTTCAAGTACAGTAGCACGGTGTCCTATTGAGGATATACTTTTAAATTAGTCTTTTTCCTTTTTGATATATACCATGTAACGTTATTACCTCCCATCAAATGGCCAGATACAGGTGTGTCTTCTGAAAGGAAGAACTTTAGCATCAGGTCAAGTTCATCTTTCGTTAAATCTGCAAGCTTGGTTAAAGTCAGCGAATGTAAAATGGTTGTTTTTGGAGAACAATTGCTCAAGAATTTGTTAAAGCATCAAGCTCAAGCGCTATACAACAATGTGCCACCAGGTGCGCTAAAATTCACTGATGATGACTTTATGGCAATGGTCAACGTTGTATCCACCATTGACGAGGAGAACATGTCCTCAAAAGCTGCTAATCTCTACCCCTTGACTCTGGCGATTAGTATGGGTCCTTTTAAATCTAGCGTCGTTGAAGGCATCGCTGATTTGTAAGTAACACTGTGTGGTAGAGAAAAGAACGCATACAAGTACTAATTTGAAATCCTTGTTCTTCCCTTCATTTATGCTGATTGTAGGTTGGTGAAACTACCGCTTGATCCTATCGCAGACAAGAGCAAGTTGAGCGAAATAGACATACAGACAAGATACTATGATCCGTTGCTGTCGTCCATGGTGGCGGATACAACGAAGGAGTTTGTTTTACGGTGGTCGAACAATCGAACAAGGAGGATACTCTGACTACTGTCACTCGGCCGGACGCCATTGTATCCAGCTTGGTCCAACGCACGTTTAGGAAATCCGCTGGCTTTGGAGAAGTCAAGCTTGGCGATGACAGCACCACCAACCATTCTCTTTGCTTGGACACGCTCAAGCTCGCCGCCTTGTCGCGCAACAGCGCTTTGAAGCATAGCCATCCTGTTCTGACTTTTCAAGTCAATGGTAAGGAGAAAAACGTCATTACGGTGTGTTCCAGATCATAACCATTTTGCAATGCTTTGTAGGATGCCAATTAGTTTTTTATATGACACAAATGGTACATAACCATTTCTTTACTATAACAGAAATTGGCCGCATCACTGTGCCTGGGGCATTATCCTGCCTTCGCTCATTCATTACACTGAAAAGCCTCCGCACATTATTGCTCGTCACCCCTTTTTTTTGGCATTTCTGTTACATACCCTGTAGTTGCATATCCCACCGATACCTTAATCTTTCCTCCCTCTGCAAGTCTTCATATCACAGAGTTACTCTACATGATTGAAAACCCCACTTCAAAGTCTCGTGACTGCAGCGTTCAATACAAGTAAAATTCATGCTGTCAAATGTATTTTTATTACCAAAAGTATTTGGACAAAGTGGCCAAGTCAATTAAAAAATTATAAAACAAGCAATAAAGTTTCCTTTTTCGAGCCCAAATGACAGTGGAACCACTGTATGTTTATAATGTGTGTGTGTGTGTGCTAAATGAAATGTGCTAAAAAAATGATGGTTCTACTAGCATGCTGGAAGATATGCTCTACAGACAGGGCATTCTAATTTAATTCTCATCCACTATGATATCATATAAGTACACACATGTTTATAAATCACTTTTCACTTACCCTCTCTAAGCATTCAGTATGAAATAAGTGATGGCAAGGTGTCATCATGTAGTTTGCTCGAGTCAAGACATTGAGTCCAGAGTGACCATGGTTAGCTACATCCACAGGAAGCATACAGATTGCACAGTCCTTTGGTTGACCTATTTCCTGTTGTACCGTTTCCTCATCTATATTTGTCGTCAAGATAGGATGATAGTCATATGTATCCGGTAAATACTATCACACACAAACCGAGTGATGTTAGACCCACTACTGTTTTTGTATACATCTAAACTTACTCTGGATGGTACAAATAATCTGGGACCAAATGCATCTTGAAGAAGTAAAATCACTACTTGTAAACCCACATAGGCTACAATAGCCCATATCCATGATGATGTTTCATGGCCGATTAGGTTGGTAGGACATCCATAGAAATCTAGCGATATAAACTAAGCTCAAAGCATCAAGACAAATGAGATCACTTACATAATGGTATTGATAACCGAGTGATACTCATGACCAGAATATACGTGTGGCTTAGGGGCCGTCTGCATCCCCTCCAGATGTTCCTAACAATCTGAGGTACCCAAAAGGAATAAAGAAATATGCCAAGTGTTCCTAAAATGACGTTTTGGATGAATGCAGATCTCGTGATGGATTGATAAAATAAGAATAATCCGAGTAGTAAAATGGCATCTACAATCGTTTCATCAACATCTTGTATATAAATATTAAATAAAACTTACATAGCCTATAATAGAGATAGGTTACTTCTCTATAAGGACTCACTTCTTCTGTTGTTGTCGTCGGCGGTCTTCTTATGTTGGCTGTTGGTAATGTATTTTCTGAAGCATCTGTACTTTCTTCCTGTTGTTGTTGTTGTTGCTGTTGCTGTTGTTCGGAGACAGTTGGCCGTATCGATTCCGGTCGCTGTATTCTCCAAACGACAAGTAAATATCGCATACCAAAAATGGAAACTAGAATAAAAGTAAAAAAGGCTGCAGTTGCAAAGGGGATGAACACATTTTCGATCACTACGCCTGTCGTTAGATGAAGTAAGCAAAGATATCCATCCATAACAGCTTGTATGGCAATGGTCCAGTAAGATACATTTGAAACACTCTATAGAAAAAAATTGAGTTTGTACATCTTAAACACACAAAGAAACGTACAGATGGTGTGGGCGTGAATTCCATCTGGTGGATAAGAGCAAATATTTGTATGATGGCAATAGCCGTTGCCATGCCTGCATAGGCAACTGCTTTCCTATAATACTTTTCAATCTTGATTCCTGGCTCTTTATCAATCGACAGCAGCAGTTGACAGTTGGGTGAGTATAGTTCAGCTGATAACAAGGGAGGTGGAGGCTTGACAGTTGATATGCCTTGAGGATCCGCCAATTCTAATATTTTTATGCAACCGATGTTACAAGAGTACAAAAAGATAAGAGAACTAAATTACCTTTTTCGTAATCCAGCAAGTCAGACTGTGTGATCTCTTTGGGAACTGGGTTCAATTGAGCAAACATTTGAAACTGACAGTAAAATGAAGGGGGATAGGCTGATTCATCATTGACCTCCCAATCCCAGTAAGGGCTTCTATCCAACTCTTCTATTTTCTTATCAATTTGTTCAACAAGTACTTTTCTAGTGTCAACAAATGATGCATTTGACTGCAGCATATTCAGCAAGTCTTCTAGCGGAATAGATAACCTATCCCCCAAACAAAGAAAAAATGAGTCTTTTTTGTAAACAAAAGGGGGGGTATACTTTACCCATTTGGAACAGCCATCAAATATAAGGATCCGTTGTTAAGAAAATGGACACCACCTGTCATTAGCAATACACCCGAATCACTCTTTTCTGCATCCCTTATTCGAATATATCCCTATGATGTATTCATATGTCAGCTACGACATATAATCAAGATGATATCTTACTTCGATATAATTTGCATCCTCAAGTTCTGTACTAAATGATTTCAGTTGAAGAGTAAACGTAGCTGGTCCGTCAAACTTGAACTTGCTGCGAGCCTCATCTATCTCTGTCATATTGGCCGTGTCAGGTATGCTGATATTACGATTTTTCCATTCACCTTGAGAGATATATGAGCTTTAGTTTTAGTAAGATATATTGAAGCATGCATACCCCTAAATATTCCAGTTATGTTGTGATAGTAATGCGAGGAATGGGGGTCATGAACAGACCATAATTTATCAAGTGACGAAGAAACTGACAAGGGTAAAGGCTATCAAATGTATGAGTAGATGCCAATCAAAGCAATTTTCTCTTATACATGAGTAACGTTGACACCAAATGTCATGTTTCCAAGCATTTCTTTTTCATTCTGCAAGTCTTGAATCACTTCTTCCTTGGTTGGTTTTCCTTCTTTCATTAAACCGTCATCAGTAAAGCTGAAGAATAGTAAAGAAAACAGAAATAGTAGCAGATAGAAGCTGGTTCGATTCATTTGTTGGCGTGGTATAAACCTTGATTGTTCATTTTCTTGCTCTCCTCCTCCTTCCATAGTAATACAAAGCAAAAGTAAGGCTCAGTCCAAATGGAAATGATTAGGTCGGCGATTGTAACCGAATCACCGCAATATCTGCTTAAAGAGCCCTGAAAAAAGGCGCGATTGGAATATTTGACTAGGTTATACAATCTGTTACAGGTATTGGGCATCTTGTCTTTTCAAACAATACAAGCAATATAATAATGATGGCTCATATGAAAATGTCTAATAATGTATATAGTCTATGCAAAAGCTTTATCTGTAGCCCAAATGAAGCTCATAGTCACTCATTGCCTTCGCATAATGTATATTACATTATGTGTTGTCAAGGATGTATTTGTGTACTGCAATAATGTAATGAATATAAATCATGATTATGTTCACCCATGAATTATGCCTTTTATTTTTATTCGACTTATAGTATGTAGCCTTTTATCAGTGAGCATTTCAAGTCCATCCAGGGCCGCACGACATACGAAATATTGTAAATGTGTGTCTGTTATGGTTTTGGTTTGAGCTGTTTGATAAGTTTATTCTTGATAGTGGTAAGTTCTTGTCAATAAAGTAGCTCTGTAATAAGGTATTTAATGATAATTAGTTCGGTATGCGACCAGCAGATCTTGTGTAGATCAAATAGAGATAACAATAGAGTTACGATGAAGTATAACTTGACTTCGGAATCAATAAAGAGTTATATAGAGGATACAATAAGGATTTATCGTAACAAGATTGATATAAGAAGCTATAGTTCCAATGAAAGTGAAGTATTCAATAAAAGCGTCGGCTTGCTGCTGTATATATTGGAGTCATTTATACTATATTATTTCTTTTTAGTTTTCTTTTTAAGACGACTTAGTCCTTTGACAACTTAGTCTTTTGAGGCAAATTTCCAAAAATAGTAGTTACAATATGTACTAATATGATGGTAATTGTCAAAGCGATGATACAGGAAATGGACACATGTATGTTGGCTTTAGTTCTTCCTCTTTCATTTTTGTGAAGAATTTATCCATAGAATGCTTTTAAATTTCTACGCTGTCTTTTCAATTTTTCTGTACCGAATACCAGTCAATCTGTCTTTCATTCCAAATATTTTTCCATCTTTCTCCTCATGAGGTGAGATTCATGAAAAAAGCTCCATTGACTTTTTTCCTTTTTGCCTCCTCTTTGGGACACAGCTAAAAAAAAAAAAAAACGCGTGCAATTTTTAGAGATTTAAGCTAAAATGCTTTTTTTCAAAAAAAAAAAAAGAAAAGTGTTATTTTACTTTTATTACGAGCATAGAATGTTCTTTATTAATCGCTTTGTAGCTCTACTACAGTTTATACACTCCAAGAGGCTACCTAACGCCTAAACGACACAACATATGTCTCAAGAGCTATTCATAATTGGTCAAATTATTCGTGACTTCTTTCAGATTTCGGTAGATATAAAAAGATGTAGCCTTTTTGCAGCATTTTGCTCCTTTTTCCTTACTTTTGTTTCTTTTTTACACATTTTGCATGGCTGATACTATATTCGCACGCTGCAACCACTAATTCTCTTAACCGTGGATGGTTTTCCTTTCTTCTCCATCATGCATGTGACATACTTAAGTGTACAGTAGCATGCGCATGTTAGTCTGGGTTTTTTGGAGTGTTTTGACAGACTCTCGTCAACAATGCTCCTTGTGTTGAATAGAGTATCTCCAAGAGAAGACTCCGCAACCAAGTCAACTCTGCTATCCATTATGTGGTAGATCCTTCCAATAGGCTCTGGTAGTACGACCCAAACGGCCGCTATAGGTATAGAGTACAGTCTCCATAGACAGTACAGCAATGCGTTCTATGCCTGGCGAGGTATACGTTGGTTTTTTGTGCTATCAGTCCTTTTGGACACTGGATTGGATCTATTCTCCCTCTTTTACTTTATTCATGTTCTGAATGGTTGGCCCTCTATTCGCGTCTTACAACCTCAAAACCGCTATCTTTTTCTTCTACTCTTCGCATGCGAAATACTTAATTGTAAAGTAGCACGCACAAAAAGTGGGGTGTGTTCGTTGGGCTAGTGAACAATACCCTAGCGTCGAATAGAGCCTTTGGGAACGGCTCCGCAACCAAGTCGTTTCTGCTGTTCATTACGTGGGTAGGCTTATCATCTGGCTCGTCCTGGCAGTACAATTCAAATACCATTGCTGGGCATAGTGTAGTGCGGTTTCATCAGAGGCAGTACAACAGTGCGGTCTATGCTCGGCAAGGTCTAGGTTGAGACCTAGTGCTATGGACTATATTGGGCTCAGGAGTCTACTTTTTCTTTTTTTCCTCCACGATGCTAGAACAGGTTTTCGTCCTGTGGGGGATGGATCCAAGCTATGTTGAATAGTTTTGGTGAACGAAGATTCTAGCTTTTTTTTTTTTTTTTTCTATAAACGAAATAATAAACTTCTTTTATGTGTATATTCTTTTTGAGTTTTTCACATCCACTATTATGTACCAATGCAGACTAAGGTAATGGATGAAGTTTTGTTGTTGTTGTTAGTGCTCACAAAATGTGTAAAAATAAAAGCAATATGATGAGCCTCTGTATTATCCTTTTAAAAGAGGTCAGAGCATTAACAAAGGTACATTAAGTCAAATGTAATTTCACATGTAAAGATTAGTATTAGACATGGTCAAATATGACATAGACGATTTCAGTTTGACTATACCAACTACTCATAGTTAATATTTGAGAAAAGTAATATGATTTCAGAGCTATTTATAAAAAGCTTTTATGTGGGATCTTTGTCCAGAAAAGAGAATGTTGATTCAGTAATCTGATGGAAGAATTATTCGGGATCACTATGATTAAAATTTGGTGAAGTCTCAAAGAAACTATTTTAACAATAAATGCCATAAGTTATTATAGCTCAAAACAGCACACAACAGCTAGATGTCGTTATAAAAGAAAAACAAGCTTAAGTAGACGAAGAGGTTCTCGTTTGCTGTTTCTGTTCATTTCTTTGTTGTCCCCTTTTTCGCGTTTTATATCTATCAAGTAATCATTTTATCTGACAAAGTCATCCTTGGCTAGTGTTATTGATATGACATGACTACAGGGTCCAACAGACGAAGCAGTATCCCAACAATTTTACAGTTCAAAGTGGCAATTCCATTGACAAGGTTCAATAGGCACTGTGATCTTTTAATCAACACGAGAAAATCTAAAGAATCATGCTTTCAATTTTTTCTTCTTCGTCTGAGAACCATATCATCACGTCAGGGTGCGAAACGAAGGCCACAGTGATCAATGTGATGGCCACCTAGTAGCTTACTCAGTCATCTCGAGTTGTCCATATTTTCATACTGATATTCATTTAAAAGAGTACTGAAATAGCTTATTATATTTTGAGCAGCTCCTGTATTATGTCATGTATAGTTACAAGATTCGCCCGAGGACATACAGCTATGCTTCTGAGAAGTTCAATCCAACATTCTGTTGGTGCGTTTATTGTTGTTTGTTCATTCTCTTCTTTAGTGTTTCTCGTGGATCTTTCTGATCGGTATACCTGTCTCTGAGTGATATCAATATTTGTCCGAGTTTATGGAACCGTCTTAACTTCGCTTCAACTGTTCGCTGATTCCTTGTGTATCGGAAAGTAGACTTTTTTTCAGGAGAACTTGTTTTGTGCGTACATTATGAAAGGTCGCCGTGACCAGGATCAATAAGCACTCACTTATATTCATTTTTGAGTGGCTCAGGTGTTAACAGTGTTTCCAAGTAAACAAAAGGATCATCCATAGTCTCCATTCGCTGCCGATCACTAAAAGCATCTTTTCTTGGAGTATCAACTTTTTGCTTAACAATAGAAACACCTACACCATCTGCTCGAACCGTTCCCTCAAAGTGCATTATTTGGAATTCTTTTCCTTTCAAAACTCTACAATCAAGATTGACAACACGTATTCATTGACAAAAGAAAGATGATAAGAGTGAACTTCTCATCAAAATATGTCTCTTTTAATATTACTTTGATATATTCTCCATCGCCTCTGCTTCACTTTTCAGGATAATGTTCCATTATACAGGTCGATAGTTGGTGCAACTCATTCTCAATTCATACAGTGTTTCCACTTTCTTAACTTCTAAATTGTAGACAACTATCTCATTAATTCCTTTTCTTAGATGCACAAAGCAAAAATGTTTGGAGTCCAGAAATCAATGAAATGGGGATTTGGTAACTGTTTTGAATTTCAAAGCAATCATGGAGAGTCATCGACAAGCACTTGGTCGCTCTTCAAGATTTCAGAGGCAAGCCTTCCAGCGTTCTTCAATATATACTGAAGCCCCTTCCTCAAAAAAAGCCCGCGCTATGCCACTCGATGATGGCAGCGATCTTGCCTAGGGCGGGCATTGATAGAGTAAACCACGGTACAGGTAAGTTGTATACTTTTTCTTGTCTGACAACTAATTCTCCTGCCTGTATTTATTTTTCGTTTTATCTAAAAAAGGTAACCTAAAAATCTGGTTTGTCCGAAAAAAAACTAACATCATCTGAATCAAAGTGGAAACACTGTAAAGTCTCTGTACTGGTCTTTAAGAGCATTTTTGAAAAGATTTAGTCTCAATTGCAAATCTGCAATAATTTCTACTGAAAATCGAGTTTTTTGTCCAATAAAATCTTTCAATCATCTCTTGAAAACTTTGCCATTGTCTCTTTTAGGTTAAAATTCAATAATCATAAAAACGGACATTGAAATGAGAAATGGGAGATTCTCCCCCCGTCCCTTGGTTTGGCTATTACGTTTCTTTTTGTTTTTATTTTTAATAAACGATGGGCAATCCAGATGAATGGCTAGAAAAGGTCCGGGAGTGTGAATACTTGCCAGAACAAGATATTAAGAAATTATGTGAAATGGTAACTAGATATTGTGTTTATAAAGTCATCTTACCATTATATATATATATATAGGTGAAAGAAATATTATTAGAGGAATCAAACATACAACCAGTGCGTTCACCTGTTACTGTCTGTGGAGACATTCATGGTATATTTATTTATAAAACGCTGATATGATATATTAAACCATATGCTCTATATAAAAAGGTCAATTTTATGATTTATTAGAACTATTCAAAGTAGGAGGAGACGTAAAGGACACGAATTATATTTTCATGGTAAATATTACACATGACAACCGTTTTTCTTTGGACAGTTTAATTTATAAACACACCAAAAGGGAGATTATGTCGATCGTGGATATTTCAGTCTGGAGACGTTTACACTTTTATTAGTTTTGAAAGCAAAGTAAATATTTCTGGGATACAAAGGAGACACAGTCTTTAACATTCTCCCTTAGATATCCTGACAAGATAACTTTATTAAGAGGAAATCATGAAAGTAGACAAATCACCCAAGTTTATGGATTTTATGGTACCATCGAGATAATTATATCTACTCCTTGCCTCTTTTTTTAACTCTCATACAATTAGATGAATGTCAGACGAAATACGGAAATGCGAATGTATGGAAATATTGTTGTTCAGTATTTGATTATCTAACATTGGCAGCTGTAAGGATTAATATGGTTATAAAGATTAAAGCGTGTGTGCGTGTGTACTCATCTAGTTTAGATTATTGATGGATCGATACTATGTGTTCATGGTGGCTTATCTCCTGATATAAAGACATTGGATCAAATGAGAACCATTCATCGTTTACAAGAAATACCTCATGAAGGATCATTCTGTGATTTGATGTGGTCTGATCCTGAAGATATTGATATGTGGGCTGTGAGCCCAAGAGGAGCAGGATGGTTATTTGGCGCTAAAGTAACGAGTGAGGTAAGTGATAATAAAAAAGAGATTGTCACCATAGTAACCAAGTCATAGTTTAATCATATCAACGGATTAACATTAATCGCAAGAGCACATCAATTGGTTCAAGAAGGATATAAATACATGTTTCCAAAGGATGAATTAGTCACTGTATGGTCAGCACCTAATTACTGTTATCGATGTGGTAATGTAGCGTCTATTATGGAAGTGAGTGATCAAGGCACGAAATTTAAGATATTCGATGCAGTGCCTGACCAAGATCGCTTTATCCCTCTACGAAATGGTTTCAACTCTAAAATGACCGGCACAGGTGGCCAATACTTTGTATAATTAATTCTCCCTTCATTTTATATTTAAAAGAGAGAGAAAGAGAGAAAGTATATAATAATGTATATACATTAAAGAATACGTGTATAAATTTATTTCTTTCTTTTTTTTTTGTATATAAAATATTTT